GCGGTTGGCTGACTTGGTAAATCAGGAAACTACTTGAAATTTAGGTGCTTCCAAGTATTTTTGAGGTTGAGAAGTTTCAGATCGCGAAATGAATATTTTTATATTTACGTTATTGGAAACTTTTAACGGTCTAACCACTCTAGGTTAAAGTTGCGATCACCGTAAACTAATCTTTTATCAACTATTATTTCTCCACCATTTGAACATTTTATTTTTTGCTAAGAGTGTTCCAAACACGGGGTTTTTTCACACTCTTACGTTGATCTTAGGTCACACAGCGTCGTTGATTGAACACATTCACTTAAGTTTTCAGTTTAAACGGGAAATGATTCTCACAAAATATCATAATTTGCGAGTTGGGAGAGTCTTTCAAAGAATGAACTACAGAACCCCATTGTGTTTGAATAAAAAGTATATCATGACTTGAACATATATTCATGCAACGATAGATCAATAGAAAACAACGAATCCGTGAAGATAAATAGACCAATAATAAGAATACAAATAAAAAAATGCATTTTAGTATTAATACTTTTACGAAATCTAAGAATAAACTAAGAGATAGAACGGAGGGTGCAAAACCATTTATAATCTATTTCCGTCCCAATTCTCCAGTAATGCATTTACCTTCACAGTGGACCTGAGGGAAATGCTCCCTCCCAACACGCCACATTTCCCTGTACCGAGACTATTATATGACAGGACGTTAAACCATTTATCCTTCATTATCGTTAAAATGTCCTGCAATTAAATTATAAATACGCTTGGGATTTTGTGTAAATGATTTGAATGTTAATTTTGCTAAATGACAATTAAAGAACGTAAAATATATTGAAAGTCTTTATTTGAAGCAGTTATTGAATTTTCTTGACTAATGAATTTCTCTCTCAATGACCACCCATGTTGCCTCTTAGAGTATTTCTGTATTGTTGTAAATGATACATATTAAAGTATTTTTATACAAAGTCGTATGATTCGATTATCTTTATTTTGACGCATAGATTATATTGAGACAAAGGGACATGCTGCTTACTAAATATAAGTAAAGAATGAGTAGAATCTTTGACTATTGATACAACAGTTGTTGCCAGTTTTATCAAAATGAACGTAGTTGTTGTGGGCCACCAACAGATTGTGCTGATACAAATTACTGATTTCTCTCGAATACACAAACATTTTTACCAATTCAAACTGATGGAACGACTTAATGTTAAATATAGCAACTTTTATGGCCCATCAACCATGTCAGCAACATAAGGGTAGAAAATGGAATTTTAGACACTAGCGCATTCTGTGACAGGCTCACACAACTATAATCTTTTTTTATAAAAAAAATAGCGACAGCTGGTCCATATAGATGGGAACTCTACTTCAGTATGCAATAGTTAATTATAGAAGTAAAGTATGGATAGAATGTATTAGAGTGTCGACTAGAGTCTTGATGCTTTGATGCTTGAGCTTTGTCAAATAAAATCAGCTGTTTCATCAGCCATGTCAATTTTTAAGAATATCAATAATTATAAACAGCTGGGTCTAAATTCAAAACATTTCAAAACGTAGACATTTTAACAGGAACCAACCTTAACATTTTGTTTGAACTTAAATGTCAATTGTATGAAATATCCTGGTACAGGAAACAAGTTTTATTTCAAACATTGCCAAATTTGAGAAAGTCTACTATAAATGCAAATACCCCAAAAAAATTCATCGAGAGAGATGTTTTACTAGGTGTAACTATTGAAGCTTTATCCTTTAAAGTCAACAAGATTCTTGTACAATTTCTTTGAAAAAACAAATGGCAAATAAAAGAATGATTTATTAGATAAACTTTAATATTTCCATCTCAACCGTTTTTAACGAGACACGATCACAGCACCATGGTAGAGTTGTGTTGTGTCGTGGCCTCCGACTTTATCATCAGTTCGAGATATTTGGATTTTGTACTATGAAGTCTTGTCAGGAATATTGGATTTCACTTTTGAACACAATGCATTCTTCAAAAATCGCTCAATGAAATATCACACAAGTCAGGTATTTCCCCCTTAAACCATACAAAATGAGAATCGTTTTTTTTTCAATAGTCATGAATGAAAAAATGCATTTTATAACCTTAAAAAATAATAGTAAACCTCTTATTTACTCATCGTTTCAATTAAGTTGATCTAACCGTGAAAATAGTTGATTAAAAAAAAATCTACAATGCACACAATACTGACGTTTTTACAATGAATGTGTTTTTAATTTAATTTAATATTTAAAACTGGATTTGCAAAACTCTTTGCGATTATACCGTTGAAGGAGGATTTTAAAAATATGTCTTAAAATCTCCATAAAATTAGTTTGAAAACAAATACTATCGTCAGAAACTTATAACTAAGAGAAAAGATTACTTAGGAAAACTCAGACTTTTAAATGTAATACGTAAACAAGAAATGCCTCTAAATCGTCAATCGCTTTGAAGGCAATCAAACTTATTTAAGTTCTGTTTGAGCCATCCTCCCGTTAAATAAACAACTCCCCGTTTCAGTAAGATGAATTTGGTAATTTAATTATTGGTACTTTGGACTTGGGACTTTGCAATATTTAAATTATCAAACTGAAACAAAATATGTTGTCAAAAATATAAGTAATGTAGTTTTGAAAAGGAGAAATATTTTAATTAGTACCCCAACATTAATTAATACATAAAACAAAGTATCCCTTTCATGTTATGAGCTTCACTTGACATAATTACATTCTGTGACATCACTTGACTTTATATCATAGTTGTTATGTTTGTGTAACAGCTGAGTATGTCCTTTAGCCTCTCAACAATAATCAAGTCAACAAGGTACCTCTCCTTTGTTATGAATATCACTTGACATAATTATACTACGCTCTGTGACATCACTTGACTTTATATCATAGTTGTTATGTTTGTGTAACAGCTGAGTATGTCCTTTAGCCTCTCAACGATAATCAAGTCAACAAGGTACCTCTCTTTTGTTATGAATATCACTTGACATAATTATACTACACTCTGTGACATCACTCGACTTTATATCATAGTTGTTATGTTTGTGTAACAGCTGAGTATGTCCTTTAGCCTCTCAACAATAATATTGCCACTCATAGGCTCTCTTCTTTTAAATAAGAACATTATTGTAGGTTATATTAATTCTATTTTCATCATCTTACTCCATTAGTGCATCGGTATTTGTAATATTTTTTCATAAAATTTATAAAATATATTTTATATATTTTCATGTATTTATTTTGAGTATTTTGATAAGTATATGAATCAAACTTACGGCAATACCATCGAACACGTCATTTCAGACATTTTACCGATTGATGGAATATCGAGAAAAATATTTTGATTTAACTATTTATCTTGAATTACTATACAAGACGACCTAAGGCAATATAAAATCCGTTGGTCTTAATCCATAAACTAAGTAATTTGGATTTTCACTTGCATATCTCAAACATTTAAATGTTTTTGCATAGATGTAGTAAGATTGATAAGCTAAATGGTTGTACGTTTTGTTACTCATGATAAAGAATTGCGGTGAACTGAATGGTGAACATTTCACCACATTATCTGTGCAAGTGCAAGATTGCGGTGGACAATATTTCCGCTTTGATGAACAATGTTTCCAGTCTCTGCTCAATGAGTGGCGTCAAGTCATGCGAAGCGTTTGTCTGATAACACTGGCGAAGAGTGACAAATTGACGTAGATGTAATAGCTTAGTAGACAAGTAGTTGGACACACCTCAATAAATATTTTGCTTGAAATTGGTTTTCTAAGTGTATTGGAGAACTTAATTTAGATTTAGATTTTTGGGTAATGAGGGAGGTCCTAAATTGCACTTTTAACCCTTACTGTCCACACAATAGTAAGCCTTAGGCATATGTATTTCAAGTATAGATAGTATCAGCAATTTGACACATACTTTGTCCCATAAACTTGTAAAAACGCTAAATAATCAGTGGGGTAAGCAGTGGGAGTATCTGGGAATTTCTTTGGGAAAATCACAAAAGTTGCTATAACTTTTCTACTGTTATGTTTACAGCATTGAGAGTTGTACCATTTTGTTTAAAGTAGGAGTATTAAATACTAAATTTTAATTAACATCGTTTTTGTAGTTTTTTTGGAAATCATATGAAAAGTGTATGGGTTTTATGTGAAAAAAAATCTAACCACATTTTGGATTTAGGGGGGTCCAACTTGAAAATTGTGTCAAAAACAACACTTTATTTGTATACTATGTTTAGGGGTAGGTTTAAAATAATAAATTGGTATTTTTATGAATAAGGTGAATATCAAAGAAAAACAATTACTTCAATTTGTTGGTTCAATTTGGTTTATAATATGTATGACACACACACACACACACACACACACACACACACACACACACACACACACACACACACACACACACACACACACACACACACACACTTATATTGAAGGCGATTGTAATAGTGAGTAGAGGTATAAAAATTCCTTACATAGTTTTAGTAGAATTGTCTCTATAATTTTCTCTGTATACATTATGTATTTCTTATGTTATGAATCTCTTTATGTATGATTATTACTTATTTAGAGCCGCATTTTTCAAACATTATTTACAATGCAAATATAAATCCAATCAGGGATTTTTCAACCTCAGCACGTTAATCTAAAAGTAATTTACAAACGTGTGCTCGACATCTCGAAACCTATTTGTATGCATTATTCCACATTCATTTTGAAACCAAATTAAACTTTCATGTTCCATACACAAGTATAAATTATAAAAATGTGAGTTGACCATCAACGTTTTCATTACCAGTGGCTGGGCGGGCGTTTGAATAATGACTTAATTTGCAAACACAAAAACGCAAAATTAGAACCTCTCTAGTCTTTCAAATTAACAAACCTCATGTTTGTAGAGATTACAAAAATGTGGAAAAAGAGAATGAATAGAAACAACGGCTTATTGTCAATCTTTATTTAACATGACTGCAAAAATACAAGTACAAAATGGTTATTTTGGAAGCTATTTCAAAAGCTATACAATTATGTAATAATGCCTAAATATTTACAAACTTCACTAATAAATATTATTGTATACATTATGATGGGAGTTATAAAATATTTATAAATAAATAGTACATAAACCTGTACAATTTCAAGTTAGAATTTAAAATAAAATTCAAAACCAAACCGTAATTTAAATGCTGTGGATGCGATACATGCATTGATAATTAGGTCAACATAGTCCTTCGCTACAAAGATAATACAGCTAAATTTACAATTTAAATTTGAATTACATATTTTATTAATTAAATGTTAAAAATGTTCAATTATACATACAAAATCATATCATGTAAATAAAAACAGTACATTCTTAACTGACCGATTCTAGTTTCCAATAATTAAATTTGCGAATACTATAGTAAAATACATTATACTCTTAGAAATTTACAAAGCTAAATTGGTACCATAGTTATTTTACTTTATTGTTTCATCAGAATTGCTTGAATTTATGTACCCTGTAACTTTTATTTTGTTTTTTCTATTTTAAAGTTGTTTTACAAACTACCTATCTGGTTCGGCTTTATCCACGCAAAGTCTAGCGGCTGCTGGGTCCAATGGAGAACTCTCCTGGAAAAAGAAAAATATAAATTTCACATATCAATCTGCAATAAAAAATTTTAATATTTAAAACCAATAAATGAACTTAACCTAAAGGTACTAAAGGCTCTACGATTGATACGGGTTTCACTTTGATGGCTAAGGCGAGGCAAAAGGAACGAGTGAGAGTCAAAAAGATATTTTGGTCTGTGAAATAAACTAAATCTTTCGTCGTACTTGCACATTCTTTAGTTAAATAAGTTCACGACGTTAAAACTACATGTGAAAAATTGCATACCAAACTATTCCATCTAGTTTTGTTGTTGAATACCGGTACAAACATGTTTTAGCGTTATTTCGGTGGATTTGGTCGAATTCGATATCAAATAGTTTATAATTTTTACATTTCGCTTCATCTAAATGTATGCAAAAGAATATTTAATTAGGTAAAATAAACAATATGACATGATGATCAATATAACCATACACAAAACTAATTAAATATAGACTGTCAGCCGTGCTGCAGTTACCATGGTTACCAAAGGTTCTGGCGCACACCACTGGGAGCGCCGTGTAGTTGCGTTGCCCGTATGCCGTAACTATATGGCACTCCCATCGGTTTGCGGCAGAACCTATGGTAACTGCAGCAGCACAGCTGACGGTCTATATTTAATTCTTTTTGTCTATGATATAACTAAATGTATCTACGAAGATATAACGTTTTCCTTATTGGTACTATTTTATTCAGCAAAATGAGCGAGGGTAGTTAAGAAAAAACGTCAAGCCAACGTTATTAAATCCGTCTGATTAAACTTTGCTGGAGATTAAAAAACTAGTTACTTTAGCCTTGCAAAGAAAGTTGATATGGAATATTTGTATCTGTAGTGCCTGTGATTCTACGACATTTTATAACTGGTAATTGAATAGAGTAAATGTATACATTTTATCGATAAATTTGATGTAAAATGTATTACCTTGTCCATTGGGGATGTGAGAGCTTTACTGCATACTGAAGGTGTGTGGTTCAAAGTGCCTTGGCCTCTCCACCATCTCTGCTTTGTCCTCTTGCTTTCCACGCACTCCTGACAAACAAATCGATTCATTCTAGAATTTCATTGATTTATTAGACTAATCCAACTAGAATAAAATTATAAGTGTATGTGTGTGTGTGTGTGTGTGTGTGTGTGTATGGATGTTTGTGTGTAACTGTGAAGTTCCATCGCGTGGAAACTACTGGACCGATTAAGCTGACATTTTGCAGAGAGGTACTTGATAGTCTTGATAAACACATAGGCATATTAAAGTTGTGAAAATACTATAAGGCTATGCACCACGGTGGTTCAAAGTTTCCAAGTTATTCTTATGACTATTCATATTTATAAGTTGTATTCATATTTATGGTAGATGTGTTATACTATAGCACACCGTGATTAAAATAACCAAATTTTCTTAAACCGTATCCTCTCCCATTGCAAACGCAAAGCCAAGTATAACTGCAATAAGCATTTAGTACTTATACTCCAACCTCGTACGAAGAACAGGTACTCTGCTAGTCCTCGATACTTTGAGTATCGATATCATGAAGTGAATATTCAATTCCTGTATTGAAGCTGTATATAATTTTTAAGAAAGTTATATATAATTGATCTACGGAAAGAAAAACAATTTTTAGCAACTAACAAAATATTCTACTAAATAATATAGTTGAAGCTGTGCAATAACATCGACCTCAAAGAACTGCCAGATAACACAGTCTAGGTACAATAACATGGAGTAAACATTTTCTTTTATTTCCTGTGCTATATTTCACGTATTACTTTAAGAAAATGATCATATTCTTGCCACTATCCAACTTCAACCTTTGTTTTGCAACAAAACAAATCATGGCCCGATTACAAGTTTCGTCTACGTCCAAAATTGATCCCACTTCAAATCAAACCATCCTACAGATTTGAATTCGTATATAATAACTTGACTACCAACATTAACCGCTTATTCAGTAGTTAAATACATTTTAAGAAGATAAACATTTAAAAAAAGTCAGCGAAGCATCAACTTTCATTTCACAAATATTTTGACACAGATTCAACAACGTAATCTAATTAATTCTACGAATCACAACTCATTCACTAAACATACAGTTCTCCCAGGGAATAAGTTTGTTATTTCAAACACAACCTGTAATAAGTAGCCAATGTAAATACTGGAGAACGGAAGAACGCAAACAATGTAATTTTGCCTTGTTCAATTAGTAAATTACCCGGGTTGGTTCGCTTCTATAAACATTACCCAAATTGGCGCGGACTCCTGCAGAGATCATCTCAGCCTCCGTGTTTTCCCCTTTTTTGTACCAAATGAACATTTTAATGGATCTTCTCGTGTGTATTTTGTGATATTACAAACGCATGTTAAACACCTCTAAACGTTTTCTTCGCAAATTGAGTTTTGAATCGTATAGATAATTTATATGCTTTGCTACCTCCGGTTTATGTAGGGATCATTTGTTGACTATTTGTTTCTTGAAATTAAATTTGTTTAAAACTATATTGTCCTTTGTTCAACTGTACAGCGAACAATCTAAAAAAATCTAACAAAATATAAAAAATAGGGTCAGTAAACGTTACCAAAGTGAACCTCAAACAACTAGTGGTTTACGATTTTATAATGCAAGACTAATGCAGTTCGAAGTCAATGATAACGATGACTTTGAGGATTGTAAGGACTGGGACAGTGGCGTCGTCCTGTAATCCAGCTACTAGAAGGCAACGAATTGTGGATATTTATAGGCATGCACTGTGTATGCGATACTCCATGGTGTGGATTAACGTCCGCACTAGTGAGTACTACGACTATCCGCAGTACTATTCTGATAGTTAGACCAAATTGGAAAAACAAGGCAAAAAATGTGGTTCAAATTCCACAATAAACTGTAGGTCCCTTAGTTGCCATTAGCTGTATGTGCTATTAATTAACAGCTGTGTCTAAGGAATGTCGGCCTTAGCCACTAACAAGACTACAAGATCGCGCCACTCATCCTACACTCTTATTTGGGTTAAAATACGGACATAGTGGGGTCCCCATCTTAAATGGTTAATTGATTGAAGGTATTAAAATATCATATATTTTATTTTTGAATTTATTTCATTTACATTTGTGTATTACCTAAATTTTATACATTCAATACGGTGACACTTAAGCGCCTGTGAAGCTCAAAGTAAAGACAGGATGATTACAGAACCATTCATTTTGAATAGTTTAATTTGACTGAACATTTCAGGTAAACACCTAGTTCTATTGTGAAATCTATTGAAGTTTCAGTCACTAACTAGAGATCCAACATGAAACCTTAAGCCAGAATCCAAGAACTTAACCAGTGTCGAGTGTTGGACTCTGAATAACGTGATATGAATTGAGGATCAACTTATCAACCACTCCAAGAACGCATAACCCAGCCTTGGTGTTCGACTCAGATGGTATCGTGTTTCAAAAGAGACTATGAGATGCCAGGGAGGCTCTTAACAATGTATTGTCAATTGATAATCCTATATTGTGGCATCTAATTGTAAATACCGGATTGACTACGTATTTGCCGAGTAAAAATAGTTAAAACTATCGAGGACTTATGCATTCATCCTTCAACCTTAAAAATTCACGGTTACTGTAAATGGATTCGATTGTGGTTTGGAGTATTTGACGTTGAAATAAATTCGAGTTGAGGTTTCTACCGAATATTGGTTAAGAGACAGTTTCAAGTAAATCTATGATTCAGGTTGTATGCCTTTCCAAAAGATTAAAATTGAAATATTGTCATTTTGGAGGTTATTGGTGGAACTGTATACGGAAAACATTGTTTATGAATTAATACTGTTCAATGAAATGGCGACCATACATAGTAGGTATTTTAAGCCAAGTATGAATGGAGATGAGTGTAGGATGAGTGGTGCGATCTTGTAGTCTTGTTAGTGACTAAGGTCGACATTCCTTAGACGCAGCTGTTAATTAATATCCCATACAGCTAATGGCAACTAAGGGACCTACAGTTTATAGTGGAATCCGAACCACATTTTTCCTTGGTATATACGAATTGTCTAATTATATCAGGATAGTACTGCGGATAGTCGTAGTACTCACTCGTGCGGACGTTAATCCACACCAGGGAGTATCGCATCCACAGTGCATGCCTATAAATAGCCACAATTCGTTACCTCCTAGTAGCTGGATTACAGGACGACGCCACCCGTCCCAGTCAGGATTAGATAGTTAGGAAAGCAAATAAATTTAGTATTCAAATTTAGCCGGAGAAAAAACACGTAGAAAGCATAGAGGTTATACTAGAGCATATTCAGTAGCAGGATAGGATTACAGTAACAAATCTGCCCGATTTCCAGCATCAAGGTTCACAATTTTCCTTTACTTCTTCTGTAAAACCAATCCTAAAGGGTGGAGTGTGTTTCTATTGGAAATTACTGACCTCATCCTTTCCTAATCTCTTAGAAAGTAACTATATTTAATTAATGTTTTTACCAGAAACCATAAATTTTGTTTACTACTCTAAATTTTAGATTATAAGGGTAAAACAGTAGTTCCTGAAACTAGACCGTATTTTACTGGACTAAAACATGTGAGCTAGTTTTGTATTGGGGATAGTAATATGTTTTAGATAACTATTTTTGGAAGAGGTAGGTTATATTATTACATTTTTTATACCAAAGGACGTCACATTACATCTGAAGCATGTTTAATGAAATCGTACATAGTTAAATAAGACTCCCATAGACAGTTACAAAATTTTATTATCTCTCTCATATTTCTTCAAGCTTTTCAACGAGTGAGTCTGAAGCTCAATTAAACTAGGCCTACAGTAATTTTATTCTAAACTGTTTACAACTTTAACGTAGGGATAGAATGTTAATCTACATCTACACAACATGGTTTTTACAAACCTGAGATGGTAGATGAGTTGCTGTGTTGGTAGATTGTCCTGGTCTGTACATGTCCCACCCTCTAACATACAACTCGGCTGCATAAACTAGACGTCCAAGGCCTCCCCGTCCTCTCTGCAGCAGGTACCATCTACGAGACAACAGGCCATATTGTAAAAGTTACTGGATAGGAAATATAGCAGCATATGTTTAGTTACGAAATGGATTGACATTTTAATTGGTAGGTTTTAATGTACGTACTTTCTTCTACACGCACACGGGCTCCATACAGTTCATAGAGTTTATGTTATAAACCTGGAATATTATTGACCTATAATTTTGTAACAAAGGTTATCAAAAACATTTGTAAGAGGTTCAGAGGCTAGAAAAATGGATTTGAATTGTTAAACAATTGAGACATACAATTGTGTAATAGAAGTTATAAAAAACATCAGTGACCTACTTTTGTGTAATAGAGGTTAACCTGAAACATTATCAACCTCTTCATTAAGTGAAAATGATAATTTATGGATAAAAACCACCTATATATTGTGTAATGGGTGTCATATTAAACATAAGTACTATGAAAAAATAAAATTCCTGTATATATTACTAGAGTTGTAGTTAAATTCAATTGCTTTACTAAAAAAACTATTTTTATCGGAACCAGAAATGTTTATGAATTATAAGAGATTTAAGTAAGAATTATAAGTAACATAATTCTATGGAGATATAATAAAGGCGGCATACCATAAGGGAAAGAAAAAAGTCTTGTACGTGTACATCAACTTGAAAAATTTGTTCATACAGATTTTATATTAAATATTTATGGTTAAACCGATTATAAATACAGTTCAGAAGAAATTAACTACTCCGATGTGTACAGGGTCCTTGTACGAGAACAATTGAAAACATTTCACCATCTATAATTATGCTCAGTATTAAGCACCAGGCAATCAAAATAAATACAAATTTTAATGTTTTACTCTGTATTTAACACTAGGCTTGCCTTATCAACAGCTGGTGAAGCCTGGCTATCTGTCCTCGAGCTCGAAGACACCTCGCGGTTCCCAAGAAGGAATCTAAGTGGTTGTGTTGTAATCTTAGAGCCTTCAGGTAGAACTGCTCAGCTTGAAGAATCATACCTGCAGAGCAAAATAGAAAACACTTGATCATCATGAATTGAGAAGAAGACACCACTGAGGTGCATAATAAAATCCAAATCTGAGTGAAGGATGAGTGTAAAATTCAGTGACATGATCTGAGTAGCTTTGTGACTCACTAAGATCAGCTGTTTCATTTGCCAGAAGCATTTATTTTAACCTCGACTATCAGGGAATAGTGGGTCAAGATTCGAACCATCAAAAAGCTCCTGACTTTTGTCAGGATCGATCTAGCAACCTTTTGATTGTCATGCTAGCCCCATAACCACTCATCTACCCAAGTTGGCAGGAAATGAATTTACCTTCACAGTTGACCTCGTGGGAAAAGCTCCCACCCATCAAGCGTCGTTTCCCTAGACCAAGACCACTGTGCGTAAAACCATTTATCCTTTATCATTGTTAAAGTATCTTATAGTTAAATGATTAACACGCTCGGACTTCATGTAAATTATTTGAATGTGAATTTTATTCCTAGGTGGGCAATGTTTAGGACCAGGTAATTCTGAGAGTCCAAAGTTGTGGTTATATTCAGGGTCAGTGTCAGATTCAAGCTCCTCCCAGCCGCTACTTTCCGGGCTTTCCGGTTGTTTTTTTTTACTTTTATTTAGGATTTGTTGTAGGCCTACATCTAGTTTTATTTTTTTGGTTCTTCTTCTGTCTAGGCCTATTGTTTAGGGTCCTCGACACAACACGAGACCTCCCTGTAGAAGTACTTGGCTCATCAATAGTTAGGCCTACAGGATCATCAGGATCTAGAATATCATCTTCACTGTTGGGCGTAGAACAGGTTTGATTTACACTTGCATCACATTCAGTCCTATCCTGCATAAGAGGGTTGTCACTGTCACTATCAGACATCAAGTTCCATTTTGCCTAAAGTTGGATAAAAAACTATTACCAGTCAGTAAAAGAATGACGTCACTCACCATGATGGAAAAGCCAGTCCGCGTAGTAGGCTTGGTAGTCAGGTGAGTTCGGCAGAAGGCGGGTCACGTGGTACAGCAGCTTGGCTGCTATTGGCGGAGAATGAAGCTTGGCTAACACCAGGTAGGCAGGACTGTAGGAGGTGTCCAACCGAAGACATGCTTCCAGCATCTTCACAGCCTCGGCTGTACGATTCATCTTCCTGAAACAAGAACAAGATGAGATTCCAGCACCAGATGGACGGGGCTAAATCTAGCACGCTCAAATAATCCTAATAAACGTATGAGTTCTGTAAGAAACAAAATTGTTTTATATAATTTTATTAGATTGCACAACAAAGTTTTCCTCCTTTGCAGGTTTTTTTTAGATATGGAGACCAACATATTGACATAATCCATGAAGTAAACTCTCATCACCCAAAATGGACTTAGAACAAAAGACAGATTAAGGTTGCCTGTACCACCGTGGTTTTGCATTGTGACGTATCTTCAAGTCACCGTTGTTTGCAGGTTTATCGGTGTTTGAACCTTTTGGATCTCTAAGCTAGGAATCTCACACTCAAATACAAGTTTAACAACACTATCAAACAAACTCATTGTGCTTTGAAGTTAAAATGATAACCAATAGACCAGCTATACAATCTGATGTAATCCTTTTCGTTTTACTCAACTTGAAACAATGCAGGACAAATTGTGGTCATCTAGTCATGATAGGATTTAAAATGGTGTACCAAACCACTTTCAATTGAAATGATGGTTGTAAATTTTCTATGTAAGATTTTGAACAGATACATCAGAGGCTAAGAATATATCATACATAAATATTAAGGTGGATTCCGAACCACAGGGACACGATATAACGTCGCTAAACCCCTTGAAATCTTCCACCTCTAACCTCCACAAACATCAACCATTCATCAACCATTCTCATAAAACTATCCAAGTACACTCCACCCCATAAGTATGCAGACTGGTTGCATGGTACAGTCACTGTTAATAACGATGTGTCAAAATCTGATGGAGTAATTTCACTGAGTCCGTGCGTCTGTCTTGAATACCGAAGTAGTTCATTACAGTCGCATGTTGTACCTGACTCTCATTCTCTTGCAAACTCCAATAAGCGAGTGCCATGTCAAATGTCATGCTTCGTCTAGTGTTGGAGTAGTTGTAATTAAACTTGTGTGTTTTGTGTTCTCCATCATCTAGTTTTTCAGTTTGCATTATGCAAAAGTGTTCTACGAATTGATTTGACTTGTGGTTTTTCTTTTATGAAGTTTTTTGTTGATGATAGATGTTGTTTGAAGAGTATATTTAGATTTTTTTTGGATTTGGAACATTACAAAACTGTTTTATTATTCAGTATTGTCAAATGATACAGAATGTTAATGCTGCTTCACGTTGTTGTATTAACACACTCACTAAAGGGAAAACCACTTATAATATTTTTTTTTTCAACCACATGTACCCTACAAAAAACATACAACCATTTTCATTACTTAGAAAACGATCCAGCATGACATAATTTAAACTATTCATCCAACAGTCCATTGTAGTCTTAAGACCTATTCAGACTTTCGTAACTAAGAGAATCATAATGTCGTGTTTCTGCTAAAATAAAATATGCTTTGAATAAGAATAAAGGCAAACTTAAACTATATGTGTGTCCATAGGAAAAGTAGTTGTTTTATAAAAAAAAAACAGGGCTTACGAGTATTTACAGTGTATAGTTACGTTCTTATGTGTATACACTTAACATTAGCATAAATTCGACAAAAATACTGAAAATGTTTATTAAATGCAGAAAATGCAAAAAGAAAAAATAACTAAAGTGTATGTCAAAAGCTGACCAAGCCAGTTATTCTATTTTAAAACTTAACATAGGCAGAAATTCGACAATATTACTGAATATCCTTATGAAATGCAGAAAATGCAAAAAAAAATCTAAATGTTAAGTTAAAAGCTAACCAAGTCAGTTATTCAATTTAAAAGTGTTAAAAATAAACGTTTGTAAAAATTTACTGTGGAAAACATATTAAATAGTTTGTACCATATTTACGTTTACATAAAAGGGGCCAAGTTTCTTAATTGGTCGATTTGAAATAGGTTTTCGTGTGGTAAGTGTACTTTCAAAAGTACGAACTCACTTACACAAAATGTTCTTAACCCAATTATAAAAAATATATTTTAATTCATTTTATACAAACACAAATCACTAATATTCACCATTAATCAGATTCAATGAAAGTGCTTAAGCATCCTGATAACTCTCCCTCTTCAAATCCGATATCCCAATACTTGGTACAAAATCATGAGCGCGGTTTTGAAAGAGGTTCCCGCCAAAACAAGTGATTACATCCCGCGGTTTATGTCGGTTTTCAATGGATACTTCAAAAGTAAAGTGGTCTGAACATTGGGCGGTATGTAATCGTGTAATTCTCTGCTCTAACGAGTTTTAATATTGCGCTGCAAATTTCATTAAAATTAATACCAAACGATTTTACACGAACTAAAGTCCTTTTGTTGAACATTTTGAGTGGTCGGATTTTCACATAGATGTTTTCTATGAATATGAATGTGATTTTCTTTACCAAACTTTGTGAAATATCTTTTGAATAACTTCTGAATAAACATTGAACGTTTTATTTACGGAAAGTAAATAAAACATGTTCAATAACACTTGAAACATATGTTTACACTTAAATGCCTTACAAGGGAGTACATTTTAAAACAAGGTAAGTGGTCATCGATTTCGATCGGTTATTCCTAATGATTATTCGATGAATGGGGTGTATACAATATTAACTTTCAGTAAATATTTTATTAAAAAGCAAAATATAATTTAAGGTTCGAAAATAACATAATCGTATTTTTAAGGTTTGGCATTTAATGGAAAATTTTCAATTTCATAAAAAGAAAATACGAAATTAAAAGACCTATTGAAATTGAAAGTATCTTAGAATATTCTATGATTAAAATAAAGACAAGACTTTAACTTGACTATATAAAACGTCAGTAAAAGAAAACCCTTTAAATATACCCCTACATTAAAAAAATTCTTTCCCCAAAATCTACAATTCACTGCTAGCTCCTTATTACATGATCCGCTGTGAGTTAAAACGAAATTAAAATATTCTATTTAGTTTCGAAGTTTCTTTTCCAAATTTATCCGATCCTAAATAAACAATATTTTTGAAGCAAAATAAATGCGCTACTACTGATTTCCATACAAACATATTTACGATGATATGGATGTTTTCTGTTGTTGCTATAAAAATATATATTTTTTTATGTAAGGGTGTCTGTTACTTTTGGCATATTTTATCCAAGCTATGTTACTTAAGTCTAAACTTATTATACATATCTATATTTTTAGTTTCCATTAATGTGGGAACTACCTGGTTATGATTTGAAATTAACTTGTTAGTGTTGAAAAAAATACGATAATTAGGATACGATAATTTTTACTCTGGCACCATAATTTTCAGGTGTCTACCATAATTTACCACTTCACTGACCTGTACACTTGGCCTAGGTTGTAGTGTGCGTTGACGTGGGAGGGAGAGATAGTTATGGCAGACTTGAAGTGGCCTTCAGCCTCACTAGGGGAGCTCATTAGGGTCCCCAGATTGTTGTGTGCGCTGGCGTACCCAGGCCATAATCTGCAACAGTCAGCATTGTACAATTAGTTGCTCGAAGAAATGTATAATTAGTTGCTCAAAGAATTGTACTTTAAGTTGTTTGAAGAACTGTACAATTTGTTGCTCGAAGAACTATACAATTGGTTGCTCAAAGAAATGTACAATTAATTGTTGGAAGAACTATACAATTAGTTGTTCAAAGAACTGTACAATTAGTTGCTCTAAGCACTGTACAATTAGTTGCTCTAAGCACTGTACAATTAGTTGTTCGAAGAAATGTACAATTAGTTGTTCAACGAAATGTACAATTAGTTGCCCTAAGAAATGTACAATTATTTGCTCGAAGAAATGTATAATTAGTTGTTCGGAGAACTATACAATTAGTTACTCGAAGAAATGTACACTTAGTTGTTCGAAGAACTGTACAATTAGTTGCTCTAAGTACTGGACAGTTAGTGGCACGAAAAACTGTACGATTAGTTGCTCGAAGAACTGTACAATTAGTTGCTCGAAGAACTGTACAATTAATTGTTGGAAGAACTGTAAAATTAGTTGTTCGAAGAACTGTATAATTGGTCGCACGAAGAACTGTACAATTAGCTGTTCTAAATACTGTACAATTAGTTGTTCTAAGCACTGTACAATTATTTGTTCGAAGAACTGTACAATTAGTTGCTCGAAGAACTGTACAATTAGTTGTTCTAAATACTGTACAATTAGTTGTTCTAAGTACTGTATAATTAGTTGTTCGAAAAACTGTACAATTAGTTGCTCAAAGAACTGTACAATTAGTTGTTCTAAGAACTGAACAATTAGTTGCTCAAAGAACTGTACAATTAGTTGCTCAATATCGAGTACAGTTCAAAAACAGCATTCTTTATTTAGTATAACTAGGTTCTAAAAAAACGGAATTTCAAGGATTGTGAGAATTTTACCGTTAAAAACATGATTGAAATTTATTTTGTTTGGCTGAAATAATTTAATACGATAGTTTGACTGCCTTTAGCAATCTGAACTATATAAGTTCCATAAGGTTGATTTTGAAGTCGAAACTTCGAATCTTTAATTATTTAATAAGTACAGCGACTTTTGAAACCTGAAACTGATAAAGAAGCTACCTCTCATTAATTGCATTCAGATAAATTCTTGTTGCACTTTTTTTACTAAGTGTAGTTTTTAATCAATCATTTTTAATCCTTTTCACGTTTCTAAGATAAGAAAATACTAATTCATAACTATATTACTGTTTAGGACTAGTTACGTATAAAAAGGTTATGTATAAAGCAAAGTCAGGGTCAAACTTTATCCAGAATAACCTCTTTAAACTTTTGAATCATCGAATCAATCTGAAAATATACTAATGTCCTGTCTAAGGTTTACCATGTAGTAAAAGTCATATTTACCTTAAGATATACACAAAATGTTACTTATACATTATTTTTATTGAGACAGCCAAATAAGTATTAAATGACGGCCTTTTTCTAAGGATAATTTTAAAAATGTTGTTTATCAAGATTTGAACAACACTATACATTTTAATATATGTCTTGAATCACTTAAAAAGTAAAATAAATATTTTTGATTGTCAACATTAATTATAAAAAATGTATCCACTTAAACATGATTGTTGTTTTTCATAGTATGTTCACTAACCAGTATACATTAATAATATAAGCTATGTATGATTGTACTAAAAATATTTAAATTAATTTATTCATCAGAAGCTACAACGAAACACTATACCATTTTTAATCATGCTGAGACAACAAGGAGGAAACGGTGAACATTTCAATGCAAACTGTATCAAATGTCAATGAAATGTAAATGAAAATTTTCATCGAATTCAAAAGCAAAGTGCAATAAAACGTCGTGTAAAGAATACTTTTGATTCATCATCTCTTTGTCAAGTAATATTCGTGCCAAATGAAACTGAACTTTAATAAAACATTGCATACCTTTGTGACTAGATTTTCATTGTGTGCAAAGAATGTTTTTCCAATTAGACTAGGAGAATACTATGTCAAGTAAATAGCAAATCAGTTATAAGTCAGCTATTTTTCTTTTAGATACATCAATTTATAAATATTAATGATTTAATAAATGTTGTTCCCTTTAGGACGTGTATTATATCAAACACTTAAGCTATGTTAAGTTGGGAGTGTTTTTTTGAAAATTGGTTTTCGTTAGTGATGGAAGAGATTCATTTCGTTTTTTGTTACTAGTGTCAAGCAATCTTTTTTCTCTATTCATTCTACCATGTTCTAACCCAGAATTATTTTCATCATTACTTGATGCTCTAGAGAGAGTCACAGCATAACTAAAAAAATTCCCGTGCTCTATCGCTTTACCAACTCCCTTATACAATACTCAAGTATAACTTATTTATATGTCTTATGATCAAGGAAAATAATTTGTTTTAGTTCAAAAATAATAAATTACCTTATAGCCTCTTTGTAGTGAGTGATGGCTTTGTCCAGACTGTTATTGTCTCGAAGATAATTCGCCAAATTATAATGCATTTTGGCATTTTGTGGCACAGCCTTAATTCCTGACCTGTAAAAAAAATATTTATTTCAATTTTAGAAAAATAACATCACATTACTTCACAGGTTGACTATTTATGATAGAGTTCAAAAATAAGTTTTGGTTGCTTCGAACCTTAATCGATTTGTGCAAAGAGTGAAAAAGGGTTCTAATGTATACAATATGTAAATTTTACGTAAACCACTCTACATAAAACTAAGTAAGCTAAGCTTAAATTATAGAAATAGACGATTCAGACTGGAGAGGACTAAGTCCTTAAACAGCCACAGTAGGCTTCCAGCCCTCTGGGACTTCACGAATACACAACAGTTTTAGTGGGATAAAAACCAAAGTAGCTATTAAAAAAGTTATTAGTGAATTATATTTTACATTTTATAATATCTATGGACTGATAACTAATAAAACAGTACATTTTAAACCAAAGAAATAAGGAGAGGGATGCTAAAACCACTGACAGAGTTTTTCCTTTTCCATTTAAATTAACTTTTGTACGAAATAACTTATTTTAAAATCACAATCACACCAATAACTAAATTATTTAAATTACCTCATAGAAAATCTCATATGTGGGTTAAATGTTACATTTTCAAATATGTGTAAAGTTAAAGCTCAATAATTCGTATAGTTTAAAGCAAACAATTGTTGAAGAAGCTTGATAAAATTGCAGATAAACCTTAAAAATTATAAAAATAACATTTAAAATCCATTCTTTTTGTAACTAATTTCTACAGCCAAACTAAACATAAAGTGCAAATTTACAAGGATTTGTCAAAAAGATTCGTTGCATTTCAAACTTTCAAAACAATACATGTGTTTGTAATAAGTAATTCATGTGTTAGTTACAGAAAGCTCAAACCCTACGGAGTATTTTACAAGAAAACCGACGTTATTTTCAACATGTTTCTCTGACAGTTTGGCAAGTCAAGGTCTAACTCACTTTATAAGCGCCTCCCTGGAAGACCACGCTCTGTTTCTATCGACTGTTCTGTATGTAAATGTGGCTCCCAGTAGCAGCAGAATGATGAATACAACATTTCTTCCCCTCGGAGACGACGCTTGGTGTAATGTCTGAGCTCCGTAGGCAACCAACAGAGCAGCACCTAGACTGTAATGTAAAAATAATACAGTTTTTATTAAACTTGTCACTGCTATCATGACGATTAAAATAAAAACTAAGAAGGATAGCAGAAAATGAAAACGTCTGACTCAGAGTGCACTTTTAAAATATTTATTTCAAAACGTATTATGGGATGGTAAGTTCATCACATTGTAGATTAAATTTCAGTCGAGGATGAATCATCGTTCTAGTACAGCTTTAGAGAAGTTAATATGATTTTATGTTGATGTTTTTTTTTCTTTTTGACCCACTTGAGTGCGTTATTATCTTCTATTCAGTATAATTCTGTCACTATTTGCTACACGCAGCCGTTACAAGTTTCTAAACACTTCCAAGACGATGTATTCGACTATAAAGCAGCTATGAATCTATATGACCCCTTTTAGATTTATCATTCTTGTGGAAAAAATTAAGATATGTTCATGTTCATGGTTGAATGCGTCGGTGTCTTCTTTTCGTCTATAATACAAGGTGTCAATGTATATAAACGTTAAGGCGTATCTGTGAACTACTTTTTGCCTTCTAGTTCTACAAATAAAAACTATACTCTGTACGACAGAACCTGTCCCCTAACCGGGTCTAGCTGGGGAGTGTAGAATGGTTTAAGACCCAGGCAGACAAAGGGTTAGGAGACAGGTTCCATCATACAGACTATATAAAAATCCTTAAGTCAACATCAACATATATATGTGTGGTTTGACAACACACAATAAACCCGCTATTGTACAACAGAAAAAGAGAGAATCGAAGTACCCAAAATCAATGCTCACACACAATTACTGTAGTACAATCATCAGTAAACCAGACATACTACAGGCTGTTAGTTGACTACCACCACTTTGATCTAGAATTACCAAAGTTTGAAGTTCAAAGTGGTAGCAAATAATTTACAGGATGGCGTCATTCAGATCTACAACGTTCGTAGTGAATTAACCACTTGTAATTATTGCTGACAAATGAACACAAGTGCTTAGTTAGAGTCGTTCCGACGACCAACTTTGTTCGAGGAGTTAGTTTCATTAACTGATTGGATGTAATGTAAATACGGTTGCGAAACTAAGTGTTCTTCAGAAATATGTATTACATTTTGAATAGGGGGGTATGATGAAAACAGTAAATTCCTTAACCGAGTTCACCAAAGGAAAATATATGAGTTATTGGTATTCTTTCGATTTTTTTGGTATCCCTTCAATAGTTTCGAAAAAAATATACTTTATATTATCAAAATTATTTCAAATGTTTATAATCTTACAATAATTTATTTTAATGCTCCGTAATCCAAGCAAATGTAATTAAATATTACGTCGATAAAATGTAAGTAATCTATTTTATGCAAAACACTATTCCCCTCTCCCCTACTGATAGTTTTTCCTCACGTTTCCTTTTAAGACTTAAACCTATACTTTAAAAACCTAAACCCAAACTCAAAAAGTTATTTCACTCTAAGCTTGATTAAAAACCGTTTGGGGTGAGTCCATGAATGTAATTCAAGGGTTGAGTTGCCTCATTCGAGACTTATTCTTCTCATATTCTTATGAACAGATAGTAAAATAAATTCTGATAAAAAACTGTAAGCTTACTATGACCCTGATTCCTGTTTACACTTGCAAAATAAGTGTCTTTCGTCACAATGTGAAACATTTGCCATAAAGTATTAAAGCCAAGAACTAAAGTTCAGACAGATGTATCAAGGTGGCGCTAAGAAAGCCTGAATCGTAGATCAAAGGGACTTGGTAAAGCATTATGCACGTCAAGCATCAAAGGACCGCCTAAGTAAGCTCTTAGCAGCTTGATTAATATGGACACCAATTTGGTGATGCAATCAGAATTGATATATTTATACTCATTTATAATTTCATTTATTTCCTGTCGGGGAAAGATTATAAATTAGATTTTGTTGTATGATGATTTCATCTTCACAAAGAAACACATATTCGAGTTACTGCAGACGTTGGCAATGCAGCTCTGATCGAGGCTGATGTGAGTATGTGTAACTTATGGAAATAAAGGTAAGGCGGGTTCCGAAACGTATTTAACTGTATGGCTACTGGGACAAAATATTCCTTTAACACTTAACAAAAGCTTGACTCCAAACTTAGAAAACGTGCTAATATGAACCAAAGAGCATGTCTGTTGCTTTGTAAGGATAACGATGATGTTTTTCAACAAATGTATACTCAATATTTCATTTGCATTGAATATTGAGCTTAAGTTATTTGAAACACTGATGGTTAAATAATAAAAAAATATGTCAAACCACGATTATATATAACTGTATCATGTAAATTTAAACCTCTATTTGGTACCTCCAGTTAGTAACTGGTACTAAAAGCGTGAATACACAAATTTAAATCTTTACTAAAGCCCCTTTGATTTATATTTCATTTCATCTAGGGTAGTCAATACAATTTTATAATCACATGGCTTACTCATACAAATAGAGACCCTTTTCTGGAGTTCGCCTCGAGGTATGTGCATTTCATCCTAACCATAAACAGATTTGGCTTTCCCCGTTTGATATTAAATCCTTTCATCACTAGCAATAACACACCAGGTTCTCTTTGGTATCAAAGGTTTGATTTTTTTTTTCATTACTAAACGGGTTTCCCATTCAATTTGCAATAAAAAGTTAAATTATAACGTTTATTCTTAAGTATTTTTGTTTGTTTTGTGGATATAAGTTATTATTATTAATTATTTTTTTTAGATGGCGACGCCACAATTGCGTATTTTAACCCAACTATGAGTGAAGGATGGGTGGCGCGATCCTGTAGTCTTGTTAGTGACTAAGGCTGACATATTTCTTAGACACAGCTGTTAATAATATCCCAGACAGCCATTGAATGGTAACTAAAAGGGACCTACAGTTTATAGTGGAATCAGAACCACACTTTTCCCTTGTAATTAACGATTTGGTCTAATTATCAGTTAGTACTGCGGATAGTCGTAGTGCGGACGTTATTCCACACCAGGAAGGATCGCATCCACAGTGCATGCCTATAAATATCCACAATTCGTGACCCCCTAGTAGCTGGATTACAGGACGACGCCGTCCCAGTCAATTTAGGATATACAATTTAGGGCTTATCACACAATCACTTTAGCTATAACCTCACAATAACTAAAACAAACTTAATAATTTTTACTGCAATGCACACAGTTGCATTGCGTTTAACTTTTAGCTTATACATGTTGAGAAAGTGGCTGTGAAAAATCAAATGCAGACGCTAATTAATAATTTATTTTGTACATACGCCAAACAATAATATTTCACCTCATGTGTCACACGTTTGTTTTATTTTCACTCAGCTGTTTGCAATGCAGACGTAATAAAAATCATAGTTTGTTTTAATCCATCATCTTGTCAAAGACCGAAAGACCTGTAAAACATCTACTCATCAAGAGAAAGAATCATCTAGGCTAGTATATTTCAATCGATCAATCAGATAGATCACATGGATTAATTTGCAGACCGTTATGTCTTACAAATACTAAAACATTTCCGTGCATGTTAGGTGTATAGTGTGCGAGTGTTAATCTAAAATATATTGCTTGGACACACAATCTTGATGATGTTTAAACTAAATATAAGCTAAACTGTCCTTTTGGACACAACTGTCTCTCCCCCTCCCCCCTCTCCACCCACTCCACTAACTCACCCCCAATTGGCCCGATAGATTGAGCCATTCACACTGGGGAAATCTTTGCCGAGTTACTTTCTGTACAAGGTTAACCCCACTTTCTCATACATATTTTATATTTAACATAAATGAACGAACACATTTTATTAACTTTTAAAATTAATTACAAGGACGGAGTTTATGTTGACTCTCACTTAGATTAACAAGTTAAAGTTAAGTGTGCGAGACTTAACTCTACCTCTGAAACCAGACGAGGCAGATCTAACTGCCAGAAAGTTTGATTTCACTTTATAACGAAATGTGTGTGTTTTATGATTACGTTTCAAAGAATTATATTGAATATCAAACTTTCAACCATAACAATTTTATGAGTGTTATTGTGTCTTAATATACTCAAAAAGATGCAGATGATAAAATACTTATGTGAAAAGATAATTTATTGAAGGCAAATTAATAATATATCACCAACTTGAAGGTAATTTAAATTCTGCACTCTGTTCAATGTGTTATCATAAAAACGTGCACTAAAGATTCTCTAATTTGACTATTTTGTGGTTTTATATATTTAGGCAAGTTTGTTTCTGCAAAATTTAAAGGAAAATAATAATTAACACATGGTAAAGTTTAATCAATATCAAGCAATCTCTTTGTCAATAATACAGATTCGTTGCAGTTAATTCTACAACATCATAAACATAAGAAGGCATAAGATAATTTCAGTTCGCCTGAATGAAAATTATTTACCATGGTTCTGTAACAAAAGCTCAGTTCTTTGGAAAACAACACCAATATCCGTTAAAAATTCCCTAAACTAACATCTGTTATAATTGTGACTTGTGGCTAAATCGAAATCCTCATCCACTTCTATGTTGACTTTCTCTTAGTTGAATTGAAATTAGCTCAATTGTTCTCTTCTAAGCAAACGACAACACTCTAGTTCACGTTCACAACAACTGGGAGGTAGATTGAGCTGAATCCTAATTCGACTCTGATTAGTCAAGACCACTCTGACAACCTCTGATTGGGCACGTGGACTTGATTGTCCGCTGTCAAAAAGAGCAAGTATTGCAGATTGTCTTCTGTATTTGACGAGCGTTTTCAGAGTTGCTGAATCAATCTCCGAGAGACACGATGTTTGTTCAGTGGATTTCGAACGAATGTTCGCTTTGTTTTAAGTTTAAACAGCAACAGTATGCATTAATTCTTGAAGAATTTAAACTGGTCACTTTTCCAAGTAGTGCTGCCAGTTACAGAATTTACAATTGTTTGTATTAATAAGTTCATGCCATCAGAGAAATAATATGTAAGTTTCACTTATTTAAAAAGCTCCTCTTTTCTCTACGTAAATTTTACAATCCACAATTAAAATTTAAGTTGTTCTCACCTAGGGATGTAAAGCACCCTCTCAGCCACTACAAAGCCGACAGTGAAGAATATATTTGCGGCAGGCAGGAAAGGTATGGCTAGAAGCAGCACACCCAGGACTAGAGGAGCAGACCGCTGGTGCTGTAATAAAACAGGCACAAGTTTTATAATAAACGTAAAATTATATTAGGACAGATTCGTATAAGGATAAGTCAATTCCAAAACAAACAAAATGAAGCGTTACTGAAAACATTTCCCAAACTATTCTTATACGTGCAGAAATTGAATAATGTTAAGTTTTGCTTGTATCCAGTACGATCCTGACTATAAATGAAGTGTCTGAACAAGAGGTTCCATTTAAATATTCATGTTGTAGGCAGTTTAGCTACTTAAAGAATTTCAGTTTGATTAAAGAAGTCCGTGGGCCTGGGGCTGTAAATTTTTGTTTTGCAAAGTGGAAAGGGTAGACTCGGTGGTGTAATAGAATGAATTTAGTGATGACGTTTATTTGACATCATGTGAAGGAGAATTAACTACATCTGTTCTAAGGTTTTGTAGTCCTTCACAATAACGAGTAAGCTATTGACTAACCTTGTTGAGGCAACAAATATCTGAGCTTTTTTTAATTTTCATTATTGTATGTTATAGTTTTTATGATTCCCAACTGAAAAACTGGAAAAGTTTTGTAAAATATTACATCTTTCAAGACTCGTAACTTTTCATAGCAGGAAAATATATAATTAAAAATGTAACCATGTTAGTTGCCTTATTGATTAGATACTTGTAATTAGATACTTGAAAAATGTAATATAATAGATACTTCCCATTATATTACATTTTTAAGCCAAGAAAATGGATGAAGTTCAGGACCATTTCAACAGAGCGAGCTAGTGTATCCAGCAAACACCTGATTGATTAATCTTTTTACACAGAATATTGTCATTAGTTGGTAGACCATCTCAACAGATCACAACAAATATTTTTGGCTTCAACTGTTTACATTACATGGGAAGTCTATTCTGTGTATAGTCAGTGTTACACTCATTGATTTGTTTATTTAATTATATTCGTTTTAGAACAAACCTGATCGGAATCGAAGAAACATAGCTAGTCATACAAGCATAATGTCAACTACAGTATCGAAAGCAAATTGTACAATCATAACTGTAGAAAAGCGAATGAGAGAACCAAATCGGAATTTAATTTGCTAGTCGGGAACCATTACTTTGTATTCAGTGGCCCATCCTAACCAAAATGCATCAAACGAACATGATTCGATGTTTTTTGTATCAGCTGTAGTTTATTTTTATTCCAATTTCACATTGTGTCAAAAAAAGTATTCTGCTACCCAAACACCTTCAAGCTCCCTTTAACATTAAAATCACACAAAGTTTAAAATGACTTCTAAGTTCTCAACCAACAAGCCGAAAGTTACAGAAGTTACAGTCGGCAGTTCGTTAACTAACACAAACTGTAACGGGCTTGCGGCGCGCGATGAAGAGGTGTCAAACGTCAAGTAGATACTAATGAAGCCCTCAGGTCTGTGTCACGTGATCAGCCGCCATCTTGAGTCGACAATAGCGCGTGCCTGGAGCGGCGAGTCAGGACGGTACTAACGAAGACCTTCGGGCAACGCGTGACAACTCATAGTGGAGGGTGCTTCTTTTGAGCGGGCGGGGGCGGGGGGTTGTTGAAGATTCGTGAAGAATGCGTTGAAGAGAGAATGGGAAAGCTGATGTATTCTTTTTTAGTGCAAGTTTTGAAATTGCATAAATCATTGAGGGTAGGCATTTATAGATGGAAGTAAAATGAACGTACAAAAGTGTAGGGGGGGAAAAAATAATAGGCAAAACCACAGGGTTTGGTTTGGTACTGCATTCTTTATGTCTATGATACATTGTTACACCTTAAAAGTTCATTAACTTAAACATAAAGAAACAAAATCAGCTGATGAAAATCAAAAAAAGAATATGTTGAAACTTTATGTATTACGAAGGTGCTTGTTTTTATGAAGGGAAGGAAGAAAAGGTTATGGAACAAAAAATTATTTGAGGCTATAATGTGTTTGCTGATGATTTTTTATTTCGGCATCGGGTCAATTTGTAACTATTGCATGCAATTTGAATATGTGCTTATATGATGAAAGAAAAAGTAGATCGATGTACAGTTCCAACATGTAAACCCCTTAGAGTTGGAGAACATAATTGGTATAGAGCACAGAATGGATTGCCAAACAATCATGGATTCTATGCATTGATATAGATTTTTTTATTGGTACGCATTATACTATTAGGTAGTACCACTTACAATACTTACAATTTACTGAGATTAAAAGGAGAACTGGGTTTGATTTTTTACTTCATCAAGATTTTCCTTACATGGTTGTAGATATTTCACAACGGTTAGGTCTAACGTAATTTAGCAACGACATTGCATATCTAATGAAATACATCCCTTGATTTTTTTCAACACAAGATAAAGGAGTAGCCTAAAATAATACTATCTTATATCTAATTGGATCGTTAACGGAGGGGCAGAGTATAAAAAAATACATAAATATTACTTGTCTTACCTCAAACTCAGCGATGAGTCGATAAGCCAGCAAAAGGCAGAAGGTTAGAAGCAAACCAGTTGTAAGGTTGCGACAGTCAGCCAGTGATGTCACTAGAGGTATAGAACCCATCTGCCAGTCATGACTGAGAATGGAGGGACACAACAGTAACCACCAGTTGAAGGCAGCTAGGTACCAGAACGTCAATAACCTGTGACAAACATGACTACATCACTACAATGTAACAGTCAGTGACGTCACTAGAGGTATAGAACCCATCTGCCAGTCATGACTGAGGATGGAGGGGCACAACAGTAACCACCAGTTGAAGGCAGCTAGGTACCAGAACGTCAATAACCTGTGACAAACATGACTACATCACTACAATGTAACAGTCAGTGACGTCACTAGAGGTATAGAACCCATCTACCAGTCATGACTGAGGATGGAGGGGCACAACAGTAACCACCAGTTGAAGGCAGCTAGGTACCAGAACGTCAATAACCTGTGAAAAACATGACTACATCACTACAATGTAACAGTCAGTGACGTCACTAGAGGTATAGAACCCATCTGCCAGTCATGACTGAGAATGGAGGGACACAACAGTAACCACCAGTTGAAGGCAGCTAGGTACCAGAACGTCAATAACCTGTGACAAACATGACTACATCACTACAATGTAACAGTCAGTGACGTCACTAGAGGGATAGAACCCATCTGCCAGTCATGACTGAGAATGGAGGGACACAATAGTAACCACCAGTTGAAGGCAGCTAGGTACCAGAACGTCAATAACCTGTGAAAAACATGACTACATCACTACAATGTAACAGTCAGTGACGTCACTAGAGGTATAGAACCCATCTGCCAGTCATGACTGAGGATGGAGGGGCACAACAGTAACCACCAGTTGAAGGCAGCTAGGTACCAGAACGTCAATAACCTGTGAAAAACATGACTACAATGTAACAGTCAGTGGCGTCACTAGAGGTATAGAACCCATCTGCCAGTCATGACTGAGTAGAGGTTAGAACCCATCTGCCAGTCATGACTGAGTAGAGGTTAGAACCCATCTTATAGTCATGACTGAGTATAGGTTAGAACCCATCTGCCAGTCATGACTGAGTAGAGGTTAGAACCCATCTTATAGTCATGACTGAGTAGAGGTTAGAACCCATCTGCCAGTCATGACTGAGTAGAGGTTAGAACCCATCTGCCAGTCATGACTCAGGGTGGGAAGTATAACATCTGTTTTTAGGCATACAATTTTTTTGATTTCGGTTTCATGTAAAATTATTAGTACAAGTCATACAGATAATGAAGTTTTTTTTTAGCAGATACAGTATCTGCAAATATACTTTGGCTTACCGAACATGTAAGCAGGGATGGAAAGCGGTTGGGTTGTCCTGACTAGAAAACTTGGGCAAAGATCCTTGCAGCATGGCAATACGAAACGCCAGCAACATGCTAGTCTGAAAACAACAAGGTATATAAGACAAACCTCACTAACAGTTTATCCTTAAAATATATAAATGATTTAGATGAGGCAATATATGTTTGTTTATTGTGTAAGTAGTTTCAAAATAACTACATAGTTATTAAGACCGACTTAATTCATAAAATAATTATGAACTTTACTACTGTAAGGTGCATTAGGTAATTTTTTTTATCCCTACTTATAATGTGACGGACTGAGAAATAGTAAAATATTACATAGATATGTTACGCATACAGATAAAATAAGAAAAACCATTCTTATCATTCGGAATGTCCTTGTTTACGTTCAACCATAAAATAAAATACATTTTAACACAAATTTAAAATACTAAATTGAATAATTATGCTACATTTTATGTATTTAGAAGAACAAAAACTTATTTAGGATACAATTAACTTCGGTTTTTATCTTTCTACTTTGACATAAGCAAAGTTTGTGTAGGGAATGAAAAACAAAAGCGTCGTTTCAGCTCTTTAAGTAGTCAGCATAACGTATTTTTTCCCAGAACTCGTATAAAGGAAGCCGAGTAAAGTTGAATATCTTGGCTTCCCCACGTTTGCCTTTGACAAAAAGCCAACTTGACTTTATTTTGGTTGCAATGACGTGTAAAACCCAGCGTTAAGGCTTCTTCTTATTCAAAGTGTAAAGTTCAAAGAAAGATAACAGCTAAGTTTTGCTGATTTGAAAAACGTTTAGTTTTTGTTGAAAGCTGTTACGATGGTGAATACGCCCCCGGTTTCGTTATTTTCAATGTTTTAATGGATTTTTTTAGATTCTCGCCCAAACCTTATAAACCTTGTGCACAAACAGATGTTTCAGCTACGTTGCAATCCCATGGTCTACTTATAAGCCTGGCCCTCTGCTTAAAAAAACCTTGTGAATTAATTAGTCAAAAATAGTAAATTAGTTAAACTAGTTTAATTTTGTCTCACACCGAAAGGACAAGCAAGAAGTAATAAAATGTCTGACTTTATGTGTAACCTACGAAAAATCCACTTACTCTGTCAACTTCCACCCTTGTCCACCGTTTATTTTATGTGTGTCCACCAAATTTAAATTAAACCCCTTATAGTTTACACTTTTATATAACAGGTTTTAGATGATGTGATACTATTTTAATACATATAAGTATTGAATAAATGTATTATGTATACTTACGGTAAGCAAAATTTTGACAGTTCTCCTTGCAAATGAAAGGCTTTCCTTGTTCCAATGGGCTTCTGACAGAGCTCTGAAAAATATAAAGATAATATATATAATAATATATATGATAATATATATGATAATATATATGATAATATATATGATAATATATATGAGATATGATAATATTATCAAAATAGTGTGACGGTGTTATTAAAAAATGTAGACTGTAGAGTATGGGTAGATGTACGTTTTATAAAGAGTTTTACATCAGATAAAAACTTAAATTTACTATAACAAATATGTTGTGTTCTAAATGATAACCTATGTATGAACTGGATAGTTTGTGTGTACATATTTTGTTCATGATTTTATAGTTTTTAACGCTCAAAACTTTAACAGGAAATATGCTGCATACCAAAATCTTCAATATGGTGTTTTAAATCCTAAAAGTTAACAAGAAAGTATGAAAAATCTTTTCTATATACTACTATTTAGCTTAATCAATTAGTATAATTATCAGTAAATATTTGTAATAGAATAGAATATCTATAAACAATAATTTACCTCTTAAGATGAGGCCAGCAGTGGTAGAAGTCATAGCCTAAATTGACCAATAGCACAGTAACTCCAGTCTCCTTGGCTAGCATAGAAAGACCCGCGACTACACAGCTCCATAAAACACTGCTTTTCCATCTCCACCCCTCACTGAACAAATAAAACATTGTCTTAGGTAACAAATAATAGTTTGTAGGTTGATTTACATGAAACTGTTAACCTTTGGAAATGTCAAACATGGAATATAGGGGATCCAAGGATCTTCCTGAAATTTTTACACAGAAATGTCACTGAACTATTTGCTAAAATGTGCTACGCAACAACTGGATAGCATTTCTCCAGCTGGAGCTCCTTTTTTTGTTCGAGGGACAAATATTATCTTAATTTTTCTTATTGTTTATAGTGTCTACAATAGGTTAGGTTACCTTTTTATGTCCAAGTAATACTACGGAATTACTAACGGAAGTACCTACAATGGAAGTAATTTCACTTGGACAGAAAAAGCTAACTTACCTCTTTTAGATAATTTGTGAGAAAATCCAGAATGAATACATAAAATGAATGTGCATAGTGCTTGCATTATTCACTTTTAAGTTTTAATGAAACCCCTTTGAAATCATTCAATAGTTTAGTTGAACGCTTGAAAAATATTAATTCAACAACTTTTACATCCCAAAACCCCCTGGTATTCATTTTGCAACCACTTAGTTAAGATACAGTTCACATTAGAACCAGATGTAAATCCAACCAGAGTCAAAGTTTATTACAACCTTGACACAAGAAAGTTCTCTGTCAGCCACAAACTGCAATTCAAGACAGTCGTATGCTAATATAATCACTTTGTTCCCTACAAGCTTGTGATGCTGACAGTTTCTTGTGTATGTCTTAGTCTCTAAAACAGACTTGTAATGGCCCTTGGAAATTTCAAAGTTAGATTTCACTGCCTATGCAATGCTATTTTTAGGCTTTAAAATATTGTAACCCTCTATCAATATAAAATTCGTCGTTTCTTTCAAATCAAAATTTTCCAAAACATTTTTACAGTTTAATATTTTACCCATCCTAATCTAATGTTCACTGCTTTTACACTTTAATTTTTTTATAACTATATTCAACTTACTCATGGTATATGATGAAGGAGAGAAGGAAAAGAAGGCAGGCAAGTACATCAGCTCGGCCAACTACACCTGCTACCTGCGAAAGTATGTAATATTTTAAAACAAATTTATTATTTTTGGTAACAGAAAAAGTTGAGTATATGATTTGACAGCCCGGCTACCACTAGTGGGAAGTGTAGCCTCTGCTAGGCCACAATTGACTGAAGTATCCATGATTACTTCTGTTATGATTATTTTATTTAACTGAACAAGTGTAATATTTAGGGAGGAAGTACCCACCTTCTCCTTAAGTACTAAATAGAAGCAAGGTCTTTTGCAGAGGTTCTGAAATCCTGAATTATTGTTTCATGTCCTATTCATTTTCTGTGACGGAGAGATTATTTTCCATCGGGTTCAGAACTTTTATTTTATTTTTAGTGCTAACGCTGTGCACCATAGTAATAAATGTTCCACAAAGCTAATATATGGAGATAGGATATTGGTCTGGTGAATCCATTAACAGACATGACCACACGGGGGTACTTTTGCTTCAGAAAAATGTCTTAGAAAAGTATTTAAAACAATGGATGTACAAATTAAAGTGTCCTGGGCAGATTAAACTCATTTCAAGTAACACAGTAGGCTACTTTATCAAAATTGTACACTGACTATTTAGAAACAATAGTGGACTGAGAAGGAGTTGGACTAAATGTTACCATATACTAAATATAAAGAACATATAGTTGATTAAAAACCATAATCCAATAGTGCAGTATGCTTGGTCGTTTAAGGATTTATTGCACGAATTTAGCGTTTTTTTTGTCTTATAAATATAATAATTCTCAAGGCTTTTAAGTTTCTTTTGAATTAAAATCGACTTTAAAGGTTATTTTAGAAAGCAGTCAAATTGAAACTATAAAACCGCAGTGAGCAGAGTCTCTTGGGAGTACCTTAGTTTCCTCTCGCCACGAAGTTGGTACAAACTTTTTTACTCGCTCTTGAGTGGAAACCAAACAGAAAGTTTTTCTTTTACTGCCACTCGAAATCACAAAATAAGCAAATAAAAGTCCTCGATAAAAACTTGATGCTGGAACCAACGTTTGGATAACTTTGGTAATCTTTGCTGGTAAATTAAAATGCAATTCAAGAGTTAAACTATAATCTTATTAGTGTTTATTTAAATAACTCTTTAAATTAACTTACACTATTTCTTAAACTATTTTATATAATGTATGACTTCATTTGAAATCATTAAATTAATACGTTTGACATAAAATTAAATTGTTGAATGGCTTTTCATGGATTGAATTCTCTTAGTAAGGGACAATTCTTCAAGCTGTTTTTTTTTCCTTCAGGAATGGTGGACCTATCCTTGTTAAATGTATTCTGACCATTTTGTTAGTAATTATTTATTCGTGAGTGGTCAAGAATTTTAACATTTTAGGATAAAAACTGACTTAATAAATTTGTTGATAAAATCAACGTAATTTTTTATCATTACAAATAACTACTGGCTGAAAAATTTTTAAAAACTAAAGATTTTCAAATTAAACATTAATCTAATTTATAGGTTAGTAATAACACTTTTCCCATGTTGTATTATTGCCAAATAATGGCATTCAATATAGTTTGACAACAGTGTAAAATGGAATTTTTATCAAATGGTTTATTAACAGTGTTAGATACTTCGAATTTCAATAGGACAACATTAGCTTTGTTTCACAAATTTGGAACTGATGTTATTGGTTTTAGGTAGCATATGTAATCTTTGGTTTTAGCGATAAAAATGTGTATAAAGCAATGTAAGTTACAGTTAAAAATATATATGTACTAGTAACTGATGATAAAATAATTACTTATGTTTTAAATATGCAAAACAAATCAAGTATTCAGAACAGTTGCAATATTAATTAGCATTTCATTTAAATAATTACTCTAATGCATTATACAATTTGATTTCCTGATATCATTAATACAGATAGCTGTAGGTAATCAACGTCAATTTGTTATAACACTGACAAACATTTTACCATATCGATTTATAATAATTTGAAATATTGCTTGACGGAATTCATCCATACGTCTTTAGCACAAGTCTTTTTCGAACTTTAGTTTTAGCGAATTTCCCATATAGGGAATAAGCTATTACCGTAGTACTCATGGTAAGACCTGGACGCGGGACCGATTTTTTTTTCGTTTTGAGGTCCCTAGAGGCGAAAAACACCATCCGTTCAAATTCATATATATATATATATTTATATATTTATATATATATATATATATGTCCGTCAGCACGATAACTCGAGCAAAAATGATCCGATTTTGATGAAAATTGGTACAAACGTGTAAAAGTACGTTTATTCGAACGAGTTCGCAATCCAGCATGATCGGACCATGGGAACGGGGGTTTACGGGGGGTTTTATGGGGTAAAAATAGGTTTTTCTAATTTTTGACCCAAAAAACATGAAATTTAGCAATTTCTTTCCAAACCATTTTGTAGAGCTTAAAAAAACAAATAATTTAGTATATTGAAGCGTTATTATGCGCCTAATGGTTACGGAGAAAATTCCAAAAAATTGTAAATTTAAAATTCCCATGTTATTCTTATGGAGAATAAGTAAACTGTTGTAGTTTGCTTGTTTGTGAACATATTTTGATCAAATTTGGAAAATGTTTTTATTTCTTACTAACTATTCACATTTTACAAAAAAATCAGTTTTACCCTCCCTGATGCAGCAAACCTAAGTACTTGTTAAACTTATTCTATTTAAATCAAGAATAAATATATTATTAAGTATATTTTTAAGTTATTTTAAGTTATATTTTTAAGTAGACATTTCAGTGTAAATCCAATCAGTCAAATGGAAATTCGCTTAGTCTGCAGGTTTGCTGCGGCGGGGGTATTAATATTTTAACAAGGGAACATCTTTACTAGTGATTCCCTTCTTTACCAGGGTAAAATTGTCAAGAACACAACTAGGTATTCCGGCGTCAATATGACCCGAGTAGAATGTGGGTCATCTTGACGCTGGAGCACCTTGACGTCGGTAGATTTGGGCAATTTTAACGCCAAGTTGATTCGTTTTTGTGAGATAAGTGTAACTATAAATGTCTCATGGGTCACTACACTTTACAATTACCTTGAGTAATTATTTGAATAAGACGTTAATCGTTGGAGTAAGTATTCGAATAACCTTTTCATTGCACGATTCGAAATTGAATACATTTGATTTCTTGTTCATTATTACAAAATCGTATATACTTTGGCTAAAACTGCCTTTAATTACTAAACACAAACCGCTGTTCTATTAATGACTGTTCTTATTTTAGCCACAAAATAAATAAATTACTAATAAAATTCACAGAACCTAATACCGACGAAACGACTAATCATTTAATGATCCTGTATAATGACTATATTTACGGTCCGTCAATTTAACACCATTGTTAAACAAATTCAGCACAAAGCTCTAATATAGTTTCAAATTGCTGGATTAGAGATTACTTTGAAGTTCAAATAAAGATTTATATCATTAACTATGTTGAGATTTTTTCAGCTAATTCATCATTATTTCAAATATGAAAAACTATTAAGGTTTTGGTGTAAACATGTAAAGGTTTATTCAGTAATATAATTACAAAACTATATAACGTCTATTAAAATATGCTTAATTAATTTCTGAGTTGTGATTCGTTAACTAGGGGGTTCCAGCAAGGAACATCAGCCAACGAACGTCAATTCGACAACTTTAGCCTCCTCATAAACGGGAACAACACTTTTTTACGTCAGATTAGGAAAGTACTTGCTCAAAAATTTCAGACCCATTTAAGACTCTTTGTTTAAGTTGTGAATTTAGATCAGTTTGCAACCAGCAAAATCTCCTGTTCTGTAGTCCAAGTCCAGCCAATCGCTAGAGCCAATTTTCTAATGAGTAATATGACTTTACCTCCTTGAATCAGTTGCTCGACAATAATAAGCTTGCCCATACATCCAATGAAAAGATGGTCTTATATCTTTAAACTAGGTTTAAACTGTAAACTAGGTTTACTAAGGTAATCTGTGTAAAAAACCCTCCAAAGTTAAGCAATATGATGATTTAAGTTTAAAAGCTTAAAATCACTTTAATGAAACTATTTACATTCATCGACAGTGATCAGCAAAACTTACTAAACGTTAGTCAAGCTTCAAGTTCTTACCAAGAACTTTTATTTGCTTATTTTGTGATTTCGAGTGGCAGTAAAAGAAAAACTTTCTGTTTGGTTTGCTTTCCACTCTAGAGTGAAAAAGTTTGTTCCAACTTCGTGGTGAGAGGAAACTAAGATTTTCCCTAGGGATTGTGTTCACTACAGTTTTATAGCTTACATTTGATTGCATCATAGAACAAACTTAAGACCGCGAATCAAATACTTTGAAATAAGTTTAGAATGTCATTTATTTAACCAGGAAGTTTTTCCTCTTGTGTAATAAACTTGATGAATTACTTAAAATGTAAAATATTTAAACATCTACTTTTAAATATAACAATTTAATATTGTTTTATCCAGTTCAACCAAAAATGTGCTATAACATCCCTACTTTTGTTTCCATGTTTGTATATAGTATATCCCAAAATAACTGTAATTTTATACATCTTCAGCAACTGCATACAATTCTGAAGTAACTGAACCAACCTTTCCTTAAGTTAAATCAACCGCCTTTTATTCTTACTAGGCTAGATACCTTATAACCTAGTATGGCCAGCTTGAACTTAGGATAATGAAACAAAGCTTATCCTTCCCAGTTGCCCAAGTCTACAATGAACCTTTCCTCCCTTCAATATAGAACTATCTAATCTAACCTAGCCGACCTTCAAATACTAAACGTGCCAAAATATTAACCTTCATAATTTAATAACTTCACTCTTTCTTCTGACCCAACCCATCTTAATCAGCCCAATCGAATGATACTGTAACCTAATCAAGCAATTTATTAACATTAAACATCTATACTGACTTGACTTTCTTCGGGAAAATAACAGAGAACATAATAGAGGTTCGGCAGTAAGACCATGGAAAACTTAATTATTTTCTTAAATAATAAGTGTACCAGATTACTTTTGATCCATTCTTTTTGGGACACCCTGTATTATATATAACATGTTCGTGTTTTGTGGACTTACCGCCTCTGTATGCACGGGGTGGACGGCGAACAAAAGACCAGCGACGGTGGCGAACCTAGCGTCGAGTCCGGCTACTACCAGCGCCACCCTTGTTAGTAGCGCGCAAGAGACTGCGTGTAGCAATATGTTGACTGCGTGAAACCAGACTGGCTGTAGCCCTCCCGCCCAGTGGTTCAACCTGCAACATATATACAATAGTTGTAGAAATGGTAGAAAAACCTTTGAGATACAATAAAACAGAATCAAAGTTAGTTTTGGAACTTAGGTCAGGTTATAGTGACTTGAACTCCCCTGCTAGAAACTTAAATCATCACCCGTAAAATAGTGAAATCATACTTTTCACTCTATCATAAAATCTGGAACCTGTTAAGATATTAAATATTACAGTATTAGGTTTGAATAAGCTGATGTCGGATGAATAGTTTTACTCTTATTTTAAGGTGGATTAGATGGAAAAGATAAATTCATATTTTTCTGTTTAGATGCTCCATTAAACGATGTAGCTGTTCATCTAAAAGCTTTAAGGTTTAAGTGATAATAATATATTTTATATTTTGTGTTTGTGTGTTTCTTGCACTTTGCTTTAAGCCAACATTATGAAAAACATTTATATTTTTTATTGGTTTCTCAGTAAATCAAATCAAATCAAATCAAAATCTGTTTTATTTTCAAAATTGTTTACAATATATATATACAAAATACGAAACAATAGTCCCGCATAGGCCGTAAAAAACCTGTGCGCGGGACAAAAAAAACAGTAAAATTCCTGTAAGTAAGTTTTACTGTCTCTTAAATGTATATTTTGCCCAAACTCATCTTTAAGGAGGATAGTTTAAGTATTTAACCAAATCTCACTGCATTTAGAGGATTTTAGGATTTTAATCATACAACGGTTAAGCTAAGAAACGAAAGAAACTCAAACTCCATTATTATTAGCAATTTCGTTAGGACCCTTTCATATTACCAGGACATTTAATAATTAACTAGTAGAACACTAAGACAATAATATTCTAATCTAACCTAGCCCACCTTCAAATACTAAACGTGCCAAAATATCAACCAGTGCAGTTGCTGTTATTCTAAGATATAATATTCCGTTTATAATATTCTGCTAACAATGCCTCTGACGATTCAGAAGACTATTAACGAAATTGCACCATAACAATAGTGTTATTTATTACCTCTTAAAATCGTTATTTATTGGAGTTGGATCGTTCGCAAGTACGTTGAAATAACTCATAATAACGACAACGGCCGCACACAATGAGGGGACATTATCAGTAAACGATTACAAGGGATAACCAGCGGCGTAGCTCTTGTATAATGGAGACAGCGCTTGTGTATAATGGGCATACAGCTTTGTATAACGGGCATACAGCTTTGTATAACGGGAACTGACTTGTGTATAACGGGCATACAGCTTTGTATAACGGAAACTGACTTGTGTATAACGGACATACAGCGTTGTATAACGGGCATACAGCTTTGTATAACGGGCATACAGCTTTGTATAACGCGCATACAGCTTTGTATAACGGGAACTGACTTGTGTATAACGGACATACAGCTTTGTATAACGGGCATACAGCTTTGTATAACGGGCATACAGCTTTGTATAACGGGAACTGACTTGTGTTTAACGGGCACACAGCTTTGTATAACGGGAACTGACTTGTGTATAACTAGTACCCGTTGTACAACAGGATAGCAAATACATGGGACAAGATTTGTGTAGTGGGAAAATAATTTTCTTGCATAATTGAGTCAGGACTTGTGTATAAGAGAAACAACAGGAATACACGCGAGATTTACCATTGCCAATGAAGTCCGTATGCATGGTTTTAAATGTGGTTCGGATTCCACTATAAACTGTAGGTCCCTTAGTTGCCATTAGCTGTTTCGGCTATTAATTAACAGCTGTGTCTAAGGAATGTCGGCCTTAGTCACTAACAAGACTACAAGATCGCGCCACTCATCCTACACTCATCTCCATTCATACTTGGCTTAAAATACCTACATAGTATGGTTGCCATTTCATAAGAAAGTAAAGTATAAAAGAAAAGTATAAAAGTGTACTAAACAATATGTGTTTTTAAATACCACCTTCACATCATAGGACAACAGACACAAGTACACACGCGTTTTAAATTACTCCAGGATTGGCTAGATTTGAACCAGAGACCTTGGAAACTGAAGCCTTGCACTCCACCACTAAATTGGTTCTCTCATATACTCATCAGATTTGTTCTACGTTTTCTAACTTAGGTTACAATTCTAGTATGGTTGTATTTATCAATAATTGAGGCAGAATTTCTTGTAATGTTAACCAATCTGCATACAATAAAACACCCTTTTTAGTCTAAAAACTATTTAAAATATACTAAAATGGTTTAGTAATAAATTGATAAAACTAATGATTAAAGGTAATTGACGATAACATATAACAGACCATTTTAAAGATTTAAATATATTGAATTTTATTACAAGTATCATTAACATTTTGTATTGATGCCATTGCAGAAAACACATTTTCTTAAATATGAGTAAAGTTTATTACGATTTTACTATATACAAATGTTAATTTTTGCTTACAAATCGTATGTCAACCTACTTAAATGAATTCCAAACAAACGATTCATTTTATTCCATACTGTGTAGTAAGAAATAATTAAACAGATTAAGTAAGAAATAATTAAACAGATTAAGAAAGTACTGGGAATAGTAGCGACACTAGGTTCAATTAGTTTTAAAAGCATACAAGATCAGTTACTTTTTCAAATTAAAGTCTCAGCACTGTTACAATATTCTAAAAGGAATCTGCAAAAGCTTTATGTATCTCTTTAGGGAATTAATCTAAGGAATTTAATTAGTCTTTTTAAAATCTTCATTACTGTAACATAAATGTTTCATTTAGATTCTGATAATTAAAATTTATATAAAAGCCCTTGATAAATTGCGCTCATTATCAGTTTGAAAACTTTGAAATTGTAAGATGAAGTAGGGCTCTTTGAGGGAAAGAAATAAGGTGAAATAATAAAAAAAGTTTTTTTTTTTGTAATTTACGACAAAGTAAGGAACTCTGTTGTTTAGATCATCATTATTCACCTCTCTCTCTCTCTATACTGATGTATAATACAGAGTGTCAGATGTTTCCATTTTCCTGGACACACACATACGCACACACTCTGTTACAACATGTTCGACAAGAACTTTCTTTATTGCCGGAATTAAAATAAGTTTTAGGAACGGTTAACCCTATTAATGTTTTTGGTTTTGATAATATGTTACGTTTCTAACAATGAAGAATTGGCAAAATTCCACAATGTTCTCTGAACACTGATGGCTCAATTGTGTCCTTTTCTGCTGTATGTTGTAAAAAAATAAAATATCTTCAAATATCACAATTCTTCCCTCGAGCACGGACTTGCAGTCCATTCGGGGGAATACTATTCTTACCACTAATAATGTATTCCTGTATTTATAAAGCTGAACAAAGTGATTTTATTTGATTTGATTTGATTTTTGAATTGCTGTCTACCCTAGTACAGCACATGACGATGATGATGTTAGTTTCACATGAGAGTATATCAAAATAAATATACTGTTTACAAACTCAAATAAACTTTAAAGACCGAGAATCACACGCATTAATTAAGTAATACAAAAATATCTGAAGCGAAGCAGGGAAATTTTAAAATAACGAATTTATTTCCATACATCAAACTTTGTTTTATTTTTATTTTTTAAATATCCTAGTAACAAATAAAATTCAAGCTAGAAAAGTGGTAGTTTGTTAGAAAAAAAAACACAAGACAAAGAAAGTGAGAAAATAGCATTTTCCTAATGAGAGTCTCAATGTGAACTTGTTTATGAACCATCTTCTTATTTTCCAGGCTTATGCATTATAAAGCTGAGGTCCCTATAGTGCATATGTATATATGAAATATGCATCGTGCTTCGGACTCTCTCATACTAAAAAATGTATTCTATATACCAAATATAGTTTTAATGTTCTTGTTTTTTCTTCTCAAAGCTAGTTCGTCATCAACACCTGAAAAATAATCAGCTTGAACGTTACTATTAATTCCCGCTTTTTTGTTTTTGAAATCTTGATGGCCATAAAATTATAAATAATTGAATAAGAAGTAAATGGTTTATATTAGTTATAATACTCTTTAGGAATAAAGTAAATAAGTAAAAATCTATAGAAGATCACCAACTACAATATGTGTGAGTTTAAATTATTTATTTTCTATAAACCTATTTATACTTATACTAGCTGTATCCGCGGGCTTTGCCCCGTTTAACTTCATATGTGAGCTCGTTCGCATGGCTCAATCACGTCCTGGTTGAAGTTCGTTCGCTACGCTCACTCACCTTTACGGTTGGAGCTCGTTCGCTGCGCTCACTTGCCTTCAGGTTAGCTCGTTCGCTAAGCTACCTCGCCTCCGGGTTGAAGTTCGTTCGCTACGCTCACTCACCTTCTGGTTTCAAATTAGCTGTTGTAAAATATTAAAAAAAATAATAGTGCTGCACTCGGTTGGTAATCCTTGTAACTTTAATGCTATTGAACATCATAGAACAGAACCAACTTGTTTAATTGAAACAGCTGTTATGATTCATTAATTCCATTTAAATATGGGTACTCATTAGGTTAACATGGGAAACTCCAGAACCACTGGGGCGGAGCCCGAGAGTCCGATTAGAATAAAAACCACTTAGTTTTCCTATTTAATGCCTAAAGAATCAGTGTACCAAATTTCAGCCTCCTAGGTAAGTGGGAAGTGGTAGAATTAGTGATGAGTGAGTGAGTCAGTCAGTCAGTCAGTCAGTCAGTGAGGGCTTTGCCTTTTATATATATAGATTTTGAAAAATATTATTTTTCATGTTATTCCCCACATAAGAAAATTATTATTTGCTAACACAATAAAATATGTTTTTATATTTAGACGAAACCAATAAGCATTAATAATTATGAGGCCTGAAAGAAAACCATAAAGAGCTCTGAAAAGTACATTTTAAATGTAATACTCTGATGTAATTATTTAAAGTGTATATTTAGGCGAGATATTTTTATCATTAAGCGCAACAGAAGTTAAATTTAAATATTATAACATTCTCATCTCATACAATGACTCACTAAAATCCTCTTATATTATAATAACCTTTTGTCTTACT